CACCAGCCTGAGTTTGCAGAACTGGCAAACTTCCTGAATTCCGAAACGATTGGTGTTCGGCAAAGCTGTGTGAGGGGTTGGACATGTGCTGCTGCTGCTGCTGCTGCTGCTGCTGCTGCTGTTGTTGCTGCTGTTGCTGTTGCTGTTGCTGTTACTGTTGCTGTTGTTACTGTTGTTGTTGTTGTTGTTGTTGTTGTTGTTGTTGTTGTTGGTGGTGGTGGTGGTGGTGGTGGTGGCGGTGGTGGCGGTGGTGGTAGTGATGGTGGTGGTGGTGGTGGTGGTGGTGGTGGTGGTGGTGGTGGTGGTGGCTTTGCTCTTCAGGATGATACTAAGATACGGTAGACGAAGCCTGATCAGAAGCAAGCCGGACTATTAGCCGATGTGCGTGGAAACCTGGGATCCGCACCGACGCTTAGGCAGCCTTGGTTCTCAGGGAAAGGTGTTCCAGCGTCGCACCAAGCGACATTTAGGCGGGCTTGCATTCAGCTTTGGGGCAACGGATCTCGAGGTTTATTCTCAGCGGCGGGTTTATTTTGTGGAAACGTCAACGAGCCTTTTGCTGTAAGGAGGTTGTATCTTAAAGCCTTTTCTATTAGAAGCCCTGTGAGATGAGCTCGAGTGTCATGGCCCAACTTCAGCTTTCTGGTGCTTGGTAAGCTGAAATTCTTCGCCTACTTTCTGATGTTCTTGGAGTCAACTTGCTTTCCCAGATCCGTTCCATGTGTACAGTGTACGCAAGATTGTTCAAGTTTAGTGCCAGTTTTGGCTTATTGCCCACGTTTTCCAGAGGGCAAGGGCAAGCCACAATTCCCAAATCCCATGACGAACTGATCGACAACTAGCTTGAGTCCCAAGGTAATCTTCAGCTCTGCGTTCTTTTGTGTTTCTTCGCACGGGAGTCTTGTCGCAACCCTAGAATGCCCTAGAAACCCTGAGCCCTACGGCCTAAACAGCAAAACCCTAAAGCCCCCCCCCCCCGCGAAAAAAAAGCTTAGAAATGCAAAATTATTCCTGAGTTCCACTTCCGGCCTAGCGCAGGTGCCCTTATTTTTGCCAAAACGCAGTCCATCTCTCGGCCTCAGCTGTCCAAGGCGCTTGAAATGGGAGTTTCCGAAAATTAGGGAACCTTATTTGGGGTCCTTATAGTAAGGATCCTATTATTTAGGGTGCTATATTAGGGTCCCCTGTTTTCGGAAACCCCCAAATGGTTCTGGAGTTTTGACAATCCTCCGGACCTGCTGTTGACAGTCTCAAACCTCTCTTAGCTCTAAACTTGTGCCCTAAACCCGAAACCGTCTAGGTTTGAGCACAGTTCTCGGCGAAGGAGTGCAGAGTCCCCCTGAGTCTCTTTGCTCTTAGAACTCAGACTATTCCTCTTCTCTGGCTGTGTTAACTTGCGACAGAGTTAGTGTCGTGACCGTTGCTGTCTTATAGAAGCCGCAATTTCAGATGTACTACATGACCCAGTGCATGTCGATGAAGCTGCAGTTCTGCATCCGAAGTTTCTTGTACCGTGCAAGCGAAACTGTCATTCCTACTGATGCTGGGTATGCAAGTGCTTGCTTCTTGCAATCGTGCAATTCAAGCTGAGCTGCCGAAACATGTGAAAATCATGCCAGTCGCACACGAACTTGTACATAATCAGATGGTGACATCGTGACATGGACTAGTAACTAGTAACTGGATGAGTATAAGCACATGATGTGTCCTTAAGCCTTAAACTGTAACCTCCAAACCCTAGACACATGGCTTAGGCCACGCCACTTGTCAGCTTCACTACCATCACAGTACAGAACCAACTATGCAAAGAGTTCTTTTGGGGGACTACCACGTAAAACACCGTCGGAAAGGGTCTCCGGCCTGTTGCAATGAAAGCTGCATCAGACCGCTTCTTCAGTCAGGTTTAGGTCTGTTTCGTGTGCCCACAAGTGTCGGCGACCAGGCGGATGATGAGATGGTGCCACATCGTCAGCCGAAGTGCTTGCTCCTCCCGCACAGTCCCGTTCGGGTGTGCTGGGACCTTCTCGGCACCTCGTCAGCTCAGGATCCGAAATACCTGTTGACAGCCGTGATAGTTTCTGTGTTTCAAAGCGTAGTGACAGCAGTATCGTCAGTAGCACGAACCTATGATTGCATACTCTGAGGCCTCTTACTTAGGAATCATGCAGTCAGTCTTTCTTCTGCGAGCACGTGGCCATGCAAACACGGCCATATTGCTGCGTTTGTGGCCTGATAGTAATGCTGGGTGTTTCTTGCAGTTTCGCACCATGTGCATCAACAAATTTCGGATTTGTGTCGTAGCTACAAGCCTTCCAGCATGTACTGTATCTGTACAGTGATGAGTTTACATTGTGTATTTGATGGTTCCACAAACAGACGAACATCATGCCTTCAAGTTCTAGCAAACGTTTAAAGGGAAGTTTACGTGCGGGCTTTGTCGCCGAACTTTGTATGTATGTGCGTATGTATGCACGTACATATGTATGTATGTACGTATGTATGTACGTATGTATGTATGTATGTATGTATGTATGTATGTACAGATGCCCGGATAGATAGATAGACAGATAGATAGATAGGCAGATAGATAGATAGATAGATAGATAGATTGATTGATTGATTGCCTTCTTGATTGCTTGACTGACTGGTTGATTGATGGATTGATTGATTGGATCGGCAGAACTTCGAAGTATCTGTATCTTCTCAGAGTTGATTGTACGAGCCTCATCCATGGTCCTTCGGTGGCAAGTAAAGCCCTTATGGCAACCCTAAAAGCCCTACAACCGTAATCCCCTAAACCAGCATCCCTTAACTCTGAAATGCACATAACTGTGAGGCCTCGTCCTCATCATAATGGACGCTTTCATGGTACCCATCGCATTGGCTTGGGACGTTGGCATAGAGCCGGTGGATCTTGGCACCCTGACTTTCCGACATTTTTAAGCGGCGGTTGTGCTTGCTCTGTCTGAACAAGCTTCCTAGTGTTTGGGGTTTGGCACTGCATTTTTCAAAGGTCGGTTCAGAGGCCGGGCCATTGTTCAACGCCCTTCCGGGCGGGAGATCTTAACCGAAACGGGAACTTGCCGTGTGGCTATCTTGGGGACAGGCATGTTAAGAAACTTCCAGGTGATTTTGCAATTTGGCTCTCACCCCGATGTGGTGATCAACAGGAAGCTGAAGACATGTGGGCTTGAAACCTGTGCCCTAAACCCTTGAACCCTTAAACCCTGACCCTTAAACCCGAAACGCACAGGAAGCACGCTGATGTGTCTCTCCTTTCTGACGGCGCTGACCTACTGGTCGTCTGATGCTGCGAAGCTGGTATAGCTACTGAAGAGTGCTTTTAGGGTTCAGGGCTCTAGGGTTGCTTAACCGGTCGGAAGAAGTCGAAATTACCCGTAGAGTTCACTGCTACGCTTATCATCTATAGACGCCTCGACTTTTCGGATCGGGGGTGGTTCCAGGGGGGAGGGTACAAGGGAACCTTAAACCCCAAATCCAAAACCCAAAACCCTGAACTCTACCCCTCTTGGTCCCGACCTCGCTTAAGGATACTATAATCAACAGAATTTACCAGGCCTCATGGTCGTCCTCGCATGGTACATGGACGGCTTCTTTCAGACTCCGAGATCCCCAAACTCCAAAACACTGAAGGGTTCGATTGGCTTGGGAGTTTTGGGTTTCGGGTTTAGGGTTTTAGGGTTAATGTTGTTTTATTTTAGGGTTCAGTAGTCTGTGGGTTGTTAGATTTAGGGATTTCGAAGGGTTCTACAGGGGTTTTGGGGGCTGGGGCTTGTGATTTCCATCACCGCTATTATTCCCGGCATTTCCCGTGATGTTCCAGCAGTTCAGGAATGAGGGTGTAGGTTGGAGGCTCGGTCCTACCATCACTGCTTCGAGAGCCGGGAGAATCTTATCAGCGCTGGTCCACCTACGAGTATGGCGAATAATTTTGATATTGATTTACTTAACCTTAATATAAATCTCAATCCAACCGTCAATATTAATCCCCAACTACCCTCTACTGTAGCCTCAGTACCTTCTATTGCAGACCACAAGGGCTATACCAAGGTAGTTGGGGGTCCTGGTATTGCCACCCTAAACCCTCTAGACCCGAAGCACGAAACCCCAAACCGCTGGCTGTTCACTGGCTCACTGCCATTCACTTCGAGCTCTCGCTTTCGATGACCCGGATAAATTGAGCTGTACCGTAACACAAAGGGTCCAAGTATCCAAATAGTAGGGTTTTAGGTCCCAGAAACCATACTCTGAATGGTTTT